AATCTTCACGCCGTTCACGCAGAGCTGGTACATGCAAATCCAACACATTTATACGATAATAAAGATCTTGGCGAAAGCTTCCTGCCTCTACTTCATGCGCTAGGTTTTTATGCGTTGCGCTGATAATGCGCACATCAACGCGCTCTTCTTGTGTGGCTCCTATAGCCCGCACCATGCGCTCCTGTATCGCTCGCAGTAACTTGGACTGCATAGCCAGAGGTAGCTCACCAATTTCGTCCAAAAATAAAGTACCTCCACTCGCTGCTTGAAAGTAACCCTGCCTATCGTGATTTGCCCCAGTGTAAGATCCTTTTTTTGCACCAAAAAACTCCGCTTCCAATAAATTTTCTGGGATTGCGCCGCAGTTTACTGCAATGAAAGGGCCGCTACTACGCGCGCTACAAGCATGTAGTGCGCGAGCGACGAGCTCTTTTCCAGTACCCGAATCACCCTCGATTAAAATAGGCGCCATTCCTGGACCGACTTTTGCAATGTAGTTGCGCAGCTCACGCATAAGCTGTGAATTACCCACCAAGGCTTGCATGGCCTTTTGCGCCTTAATGGGTACATCTTTGTCCTGCATCTCCTGCAATTTGCGCAGTTGCACATCTGCTTTGGACAAACTCTGCTCTTGCACGATACGTAATCTCTTCACGTTGTTTGCATGAGCCAAGGCATCAGCAATAACGCTGCGAAACTGCTGTAAATCTATAGGCTTAGACAAATAATCAAAAGCCCCAGCCTTAAGGGCTTGCACTGCATTCTCCGCAGAGCCGTAAGCAGTAATCACTACGCTTTGCTCATTGTTAGCACGTTCTTGCAAATAACCAACCAACTCCAAACCAAGGCCATCAGGCAAACGCATATCTGTAACCACCAAGTCAAAGCGCTGTTGCTGTAAAGCTGCTTTTGCCTGCGCCAAATCTTGAGCCGTGTGAATTTCATAATCAAAATTACGCAGTGCCAAGGTATACGTTCTTAAAAGATCAGCCTCATCATCTACCAATAATACCTGCATGGTGTTTGTATTTTTTTCAGCTATGTGTTTGGGAGAAGTATCCGTATTCATATTTGTACTGCTAATAAGATATTTAGACAAGAATAACAAATTCTCTCTTATTTTTCTTCTCTACGTTGACTTATTGGTATTCTTACGACAAAGGCATTTCCACTGACTTGAGCTCCTAAATAGAGTCGCCTCTTATATAAATACTGTAATTTTGCAGCATTACGGTTGCAAAGTTCATTGCAGATATATAAGCCAAGCCCACTAGATTTCGGGTTGGAGCTGGCAAAAGGTTCAAACATACGCTGCCTACTGATTCCAAGTATTTCCTCACCGCCACTCCAAACTTCTAAAATGGCATTTTGCTCGTTATTTACTAAATTTTGGCTCTCCATTGGAATTCTTTTTTCTATTTTTAGACTCACCTCAATAGCTGAGCGCTTATCCAAGTTATGCTTTAATGCATTATCCAGCAAATTTTCTAGCACCCTGCGCAAATGGTTGGGGTCAAAGTTGGTATAAACATCATCTCCCGCCTCCAAATCGACATGCCAAAAATTTTCTTGGCTGAATTGTGCAGCATTTTGGCTATACCAATCGGCACAAATGTGTTCCACCATGACTTGTAGTGGCACACCATTATCAGCTAAGCTGA